GGGCTGGCCCAGCTCGGTGCCATTCCCGGTGCCCGTCCCCACCGTGCGCCCCATGGGGCCGCGCTCACCCCGCGGTGACACCGCCGACGTCACCCAGAGGGAAGGGACGGAGAGAAAGAGGAACTGAGCATGGAGGAACGTTTCCTCGGCCCGCGGGTTCACGTGGAAAGAAAATAATAGAATACAAATAGGCAATAAAATGAAAGGGTCAGGGTGGGAGGTGGGGAGGATGGGGGGGGGGGGGGGGGAAGGAGTGTGGCACCGCACTGGGTGACACTGGGGGCTGCTCCCCCCCGCCACCTGCAGCCCCGTGCTGTGGGCCCCGTACTGTAGTTTGCTTGGGTTGGGGGTTTGTTTGATGGGTTTGGTTTTTTTCCTTTTTTTTTTTTTTTTTTTTTAATTTTTAGGGGTATTCTTATTTCCTCGGAAAGAAACTTTCCGCGGGCGGCGGGGTGAAGTTCGCCTCGGGGCCGGAGCTGCTGGGGGTGGGAAGGGGAGCAACGGGGGGGCGAGCAGAGCACGGGGGGGGCAGGGGCAGGTAGGGGGCGGGCAGGAGGCACGGGAAGAGAGCAAGAGACGGGCTGGGAGAGGGCAGGGGTACGGGCAGGACGCTGGAAAGGGGCAGAGGGTGCAGGAGGGGGGCACGGCGGGCAGCGTGCGGGCAGGAAGGGGGCACGGGGTGCAGGCAGGGAGCAGGCAAGGTGCAGGCAGGAGGGGGCACAGGGCGCAGGCAGGGCACAGGGCGCAGGGCTCCCGCACCCGCAGCGCCTCCCGCACCCCCTCAAACCCCGCATCCCCCCCAGCACAGAACCCCTTACAACCCCCCCCCCCCCAACCCCCGGAAGCCCTCCCCCTCCCGCACCCGGCCGCCCCCCCAACCCGCTGCCCTTCAGCCGCCGTCGGGCGCTCAAGGACGCGGGGGGGGTCGGGGGGGGGGGGGGGAGGGCCGCTGCCATCTTTTCCTGCCCCGGGCCGGGGGGGGGGGGGGGGGGGAGGTGGGGGGTGCAGGGTTACCTGGGGCGCCGCGGGGCCCGGCAGAGCGCTGCGGGGCGGTGCGGGGCCGAGCGGGGCCGAGCCGAGCCGAGCGGAGCCGGGCCGAGCCGAGCGGAGCCGAACCGCCCGGCGGGGCCCCTCCCGCAGCGCTCCGCCGCCACCGCCTCCACTGCCGCAAAGCGGAGCTGAACCGCCCGGCGGCCGCGTGCGGTCCTAATGCCCGTCCGCACCTATGGGGTGGGGTAGGGACAGGATGGGGACGGGGATGGAGCGGCCCCAAGGCGCTGCCGATGCGGCCGGAGCCAAGAGGTGCCAAGCCGTGCTAAGCTATGCTGAGCTGCGCCGTGCTCGGTCCAAGCGCTGAGTTGTTGATGCGGCGCCAAACCGAAGTGAGCCGTGCCGGGCTGCACCGCGTCGGGTCAGGGCAATGCAGGGCAACACAGCGCCCAGCCAGGCCGGGCTACAGCGAGTCAAGGTGTGCAGGGCCGGGCCGGGCCGAGCCGTGCTGAGCCGTACCGTGTTGCGTTGGGCTGAGCTGGGCCGGCCAAACTGGGCTGAATCTGATTTACCATGCAGTACTGGGCCAAAGCCAGCTGCTGACCCCGACCTTAACCCTGACTGAGCCCCTAAGCAGTGCCCCGAGGAACATCCTCAGGGAGGGCCCCGTGCTGGAAGATGCTCGGTGCACATGGGGGCACTGTAAAATAAGGCATTAATTAATAATCATAATTAATGTGACATTCCCCTGGCTTCATATGAGTGTCTCACTCAGTGCTGCAGGGGAAACCACTCCTACTCTGATGGTGTTCTTGAATGTGGGGATGGGCAGGGATGGTCCCAATCTCATCCCCATCCTATTCTATCCCATCCTATTCTATCCCATCCCATCCCATCCTATCCCATCCCATCCCATCCCATCCCATCCCATCCCATCCCATCCCATCCCATCCCATCCCATCCCATCCCATCCCATCCCATCCCATCCCCATCCCCATCTCCATCCTTATCCCCATCCCTATCCCCACTGAACCACTGCTTGCATTCCCCATCCCAAAACAGCACTCCAGGCACAGCCTTATTTTTCATCACTCTCATTCTTGCTGAGCCTGCTTACAGTGGGAGCACTTTCCCATATCCTGAAGCCATCCCCTAATTGCTCTCTCCTTGGCACACCCTTCCTCCCCTGAACACGGGCCCTGCGGCTTTTCCTTGTGTAGTGTTGCAAAAGTGCAGGTGGGTGCCCTGGAGGTGCGTGGAGACGAGTGTATTTACACCTGGGTTTACACATGGCAACATTTGCACACGGGTGCATTTGCACAACAGCAGATCTGCCCACACCCGTTTGTTGTAAGGCCTTTCCCCCCCCCGGTTCCCGGAGGAGCAGCAGTGGGGTGGGGGGCATCTGGGCTGCAGCTGCCGCACATCTGGCGCTGCTCCCTGGCCGCGGTGCAGCTCTGTCTGCAGCAGCGTTGGCTGCTCCTCATCAAAACGCTTCCTGAGGCGCTCCCCTCCTCGTCAGAAGGCCTCACCCCTCAGCGCTGCTTTGCTGACAGTTTTCAGGATGGAAAACATGACTCGTGCCAAAGACGGAGCCTTTTCCACCCGGTTTGAAACCCCCGTGCGAAAGGAAATGTTGATGCAAAAAGTGTTGGTTGGGTTTTGCCACTTCTTCCCAGCACCCACTGGCTGTGGTGTTGGCACTGGGGACGGGGACAGGGACACAGCCAAGGAACCAGCCTGGCTGGGTGAGAATCACAGAGTCATAGAACCATGGAGGTTTGCCCATCCCCGTTGTGGTTTCCCATCTCCATTGGTGTTTCCAGCCTTCCCCATCCTCACCGAGGTTCCCCATCCCTTTGGGGATTCCTGCCTTTCCCTGTCCCCATTGGTGTTCCCCATCCCCGCTGGGATTCCTGTTTTGCCCTGTCCCCGCTGGGTTTCCCAGCACTCCCCTTCCCCATTGGGATTGCTGTAATTCCTCATCCCATTGGGGCAATCAGTCTCATTGGGATTTCTGCCTTTCCCCACTGGGGTTACCAGCATTCCCTATCCCCACTGGGGTTCCCCATCCCATTGGGGTCTGTACCACTGTGCTCCTTAGGCAGCCACGGGCACTCCCAGCCCAGTGGCTCCCTTTAGGTTAATGGATGTAATTATCCTGGGCTTAAATCTCTGTGTGACAGGAGAGGTCAATGTGGGCTGTGGGAGGGCAGCGGGCTCCTGGCAAGACGTTTCCTATGGCCATAAATCTCCCACCCCACAGTACAGAGCAGCATCAGGGTCGGGATGGGCAGCTCCATCCTCACTCCATGCCCATCCCTATCCCCATCCCTAACCCCATCCCATCCTCATCCTCACCCCATCTCCATCCCATCTTCATCCTCATCCTCATCTTCATCCTCATGATCATCCTATCCCCATCCCCATCCCCATCTATCCTGTCCCATCCCATCCCCATCCTTGTCCCTACCCCATTCCCACCCCTGTCCCAACCCTATCCCTTCCCCATCCCCATCCCCATCCCATCCCACTGACAGGTGCCAATTTGGAGGCAGCTCTCTGGGAGTTTGGGGATGGATTAATGCATCTTGCCGAGCGGGTGGGAGCCAAATTAAGCTGGTGACACACGGTCAGACGCTGACTCAGCCTTCGTCACGCTCTGGTGCAGCTGCAGCGTGTGGGGCCGTGGGCACTGGGCGTCCCCCGTGGGGTTTGTCAGCCCCAAAGCCTCCACAGCTCCCTGAGTGCTGAGCATCTCTGCAGTGTAGGGGAGGGGAGGGAAGGGGGGGGGCACAGCTGTAGACCCTCAAAGTCCCGGTGGGGGTGGGTACCGTGCCATGCCCTGTGCTGTGCAACTTCCTTGTGCCGTGTCACATCCCAGTGCTGTGCCGCATCCCGGTGCCATGCCACATCCCATTAACATGCCCTATCCCAGTGCCACGCCACGTCCCCACGGTGGAGGCTGAGGACATGGACCCCCACATCCCCGTGCCCATGGCTCCCGTGTGGTGTTTGTGCTGTGATCGCCCCGATAACCCCACGGGCGCTCCCCATTCCTTCCCCATCAATCATTAATGCTGGGCGGGTGTGGGGCAGAGGAGGAGGAGGAGGAGGAGGGCTGGAGGAAGGCTGCGGCTCCCAGCTTGTGGCAGAGGAATTAATTTTACGGTGATGGATGAGAGTGGGAGCGGATAATGCAGCCCCGGGTGGTCATTAAATGCTGCAAATGAGCACAAATCCCATCCCTGGCGCCCCAGGGTCAGAGCGCTTACACCGAGATCACCCAACCGTGCAACGAGGGGAGGCCAGGACCCCCCCATGCTCTGCTCCTGAGTCTCCATGGGGTGCACGGGGTCTTCATGGGGCACATGGGAGTCTCTCGGTCTCCACGGAATGCATGGGATCTTCATAGGGTACATGGGGTCTTCATGGGGCACATGGGGGTCCCTGAGTCTCCATGGGGTGCGTGGGATCTTCATGTATTTCATGGGGTTTCTATGGAGTGTACAGGCGTCCCTGGTTCTCCATGGAATGCATTGGGTTTCCATGGAACACATGGTGGTCCCTGGATCTCTATGGGGTACACGAGGCCTTCACGGGGCACACGGGCTCCCTGTATCCCCAGTGGATACCAGGACCCCTGGGTCTCTATGGGGTTCATGGGGTCTCCATGGGACACATGGGGTGGGAGCGCAGCCTGGAGCGGTGTGAAGCCCCCAAGCTGTGGCCCACCCTGGCCCCATCCAGATGTGCGGTGCGGCGGGCCAACATCTGGCGGGGCTGTGGCCCTGAACACAGGCTGCTCTGTCTGCTCCCAGCGACCCGCGCCCATGACCAACGCGGATAATCCCCAGCCCTGCCATTCCGTATGAATACGCAGCGAAGCGTTTGCAGCTGCTTCCGTGCTAGGCAGTGATTTCCTACTACAACCCTTTTCTAAAATTTATTTTGCTTTTCCAGGAATATTCCTGCTTCTTTTTCACATGGCTGAGGGACGAAACACCCTGTAGGGATGAGATGAATTTATTCAGTATTTGGCAGATGACAGAACATGGCTTCCAGTTCACAGGTTCTTACCAATGGCACTCCCATCCTCCCCACCACGCGCTCTGGGCACCGGTGCCGACTGAGCCACCAAACCCCATGGTGTGCACAAGAAACGAACCCCAAATTTGAAAGGAAAGATGCACACGTGCTGGAACCATGATGGCACAGCTCGCAGCTTGGAGAAAGCGTGGTCTGCAGTGTTCTTCCTGCAGGGGTTAAGGCGGTGATCGTGAAGGCAAGCAGAAGGTTTGCAATGTTCCCAGTTAAGCACAAGCAAGCTGTAGGGTTTGCTTCCCAACATGGATGAGGGTTGGAAAAGCTGAGTCATTGCGTCCAGCTGTCACCCCAGCACCACCATGGCTGCCTACATAGCCACAGGATCACTGCGGTTGGGAAAGACCTCCACCATCACCGTGTCCAGCCGCCAACCCATCGCCACCGTGCCTGCTAAGCACATCCCTAAACAGAATCACAGAATTACTCCGGTTGGAAAAGACCTCAAAGGTCACCAAATCCAACCCCAACCCGCCGCACCATGCCCACTGACCCCTGTCCCCCAAAGTAAGAAGAGGAGGTCATGCAGTGAGCAACAATACAAAAAAAAGGGTGCCCCGCGGATCCGTGCTTCACGAGCCGTGCACGTGCTGAGTCGGGTTCTCATCACTCCTCTCCCCTCCCTGACAGCTCGCTCACAATATTTACACTTGGCTCAGGCTGTGGCCACCACGTCTGTTTATTTCTGCTCTCCCAAAGGGCTGCAGGTACCCAACGAGCGCTCTCTGTGCCGCACTGGCTGCCGTTGGCTTCGGGCTTTATCGCTGCTTCCCATTCATCACCCCTGATAAATATTTATGGCTGCATTAGGGCACTCAGCTCCTTCCACTAAAAATAACATTCCAGAACACCGAGGGGAAAAAAAAAAAAACCCGAAATGGTGTGATTGGAACTGATTGCAATGTTTCCTAAGCACCCAGACGGCGGTGAGCTCCCAGCCTCAGACTACACAACTCTGCTCTTTCTCTTAATTTTAAACAAAACCCAGCTCTCCTCTCAAGAATGAACACAGAGATGCTGATGCCAACTCAAGCTACTCATCCCTGAATTCCCTGCCTGCAAGGGGACATTTGGTAACAGTTTAAAGAAGAGGCACTGGTCTGGGGTCCTCCCACTGCTCGTTCCTCCCTGACACGCCATCACTTACAGAGGACAATGTAACATCAAACACAACAGCAACCCGACAGCGGAGCGGTGCTTCTAGGTGGGTCTGAACCGTCCACACTCACGAGTCCCCCCTGCTTTACACGCAAAGAGACCCCAATGGTGCAAACCTCATTTTTTGTCATGCACAGCAAAGGGCAGGAGCCAAGAGGAAACAGCCAGCATGAGATGCGATGGTGCCGCTGTTGGGTGGGAAATCCAACAGATCGGAACGCGTAGCGGGAGCGGGGAGTATTGCCTTTTTCTTGAACCTCCCGCAAATGGCAGAGTTCGATGGGGCACTGTCTGATTATCGTTAGTAAACACACTGAGGAAAACAGTACATGCAATGGCCTAAGAGGCAAATGCCCACGGGGAAACCCCTCGGTTGGCTGGGAGAACGCCGGCGCCGGTGGGAGGTCAGCGTCGATCACAGTGGCGCGATGGTGGTGGGTCGGCCGGAACGCGGCTCTCCCAGCGGCGCGGGGACGTCTTCGGTCACGAGCTCATCGAGAGCCCCCTGCGCCTGCACCACAGGAAACAGAGACTGAGCCCACAGCATTAACCATGGAATCATAGAATCACGGAGTGGTTTGGGTTGGAGGGACCCGAAAGAAGAACACCCACAGAATGGGTTGGTTTGGAAGGGTCCCTAAAGACCATTCAGTTCCATTCTTCGCCCCTTCTGGAGGATAAAGAAGCCCTGAAAAAGTTTCTTGCCTTTATTGTCTCACTTTTCTCCATTTTCTGCTTTTCAGCATCACCCCTGGTGCTTCAGCCCCTGTTCCGTGGCAAGGGACAGCCATGTCCCAGCTGCCCCCCATACAGCAAAGTGCAGAGCAGCCATTAGCGTCCAAGGGGCACAAAGGGACTGCCGTGCATAGACAGCATAAAGAGCTCCACACTGCCTACATCCCCTCTAATGGCATCATTTCACTCCTTCTTCAGTTACCAGATTGTTTCCCAGCCGAGACAGGACTTGAATTTCTAATGTAAAAACTATCAGAGAAACTCTGAAGCTGCTTTCAGGTTATCTCTATCCATTACTAAAATGGCAGGGAGGCAGAAAGGGCAAAAGCTTTGTTTCTGTGCTTTGCAAATTACCTTCAGAGCGCAATGGTGCCAGTTTTATCATGCAGAATTGCGTTTTGCAGCAGTTGTGCCTAATTCTATTTGGCCAACATGGGCTGGATCCCAATGGACAATGTGAAGGTGAGATTCTTGTTCTGCTCTTTGGATTCTCATCAGTGTGCAAGCTTCCAGCACAATGGAAGAAGACCCAGGAATGGGATCCCCATCGACCTCTGCGAACCCACATTTGCGCCCACGCCGCGTGTTTTGGCTGCAGGAACCCTCCTGCTTCCCACTGCCAGTGCTCAGAGATCAGCACTGCGCATCAGGCAAATACTATGCAGAGTGGAAACCCAACCCGGTGCCCTCCTACGTTTTTCAGTAGGGAAGTGATAGGGATCTGCCCCAGGTGCCTCGGAGGCATTGTGAGCACGAGGCTCAGCCTTTCTCCGCCGACACAGTCTCATGCTCCCCAGCACCTGTTTGTCTGTCCATCTGCTGTGCCTTATTATAACGCACAGTGCCGGCTCTTTGAGGGTAGAGATTGTATTTTTAGTACATCTGGATGGCGTCCGTCGCAATAGACTCCGATTTCCTGGCGGAGGCCTCTCAGTGTAAAAGTAATGCTAATAAAAGAAAAGATAACGGCGGTAATTCTGCTTTCACTGAAGTTAATGATGCTTTCCCACTGTCTGTAGCAGGAGCTGAATTAGGTCATAACTAGGAAAACCCAGCATCCTTTGGAATAGGTGCAAAGTGGCGGGAGGGAAACTCTCCTCGTCTTGTACAGAAGCATAAAAGGAAGGAGAAAGCAGAAGGTTGGCAGAGAAATGTCCAGGCTCACCTGAATTGCTGTACAGCCTGTGGTCGTCCATCTAACCTGCAACATAGGAAGAAGATACATCCATCAAACAGGCAACTGTATTTCCTGTACAGTGAATAATCGTTGAATCATAGAATTGAGAAGGTTGGAAAAGACATCCAACGTCATCCAGTCCAACCGTCCACCCATCACCACCACCATGCCCACTAACCGTGTCCTAAACAGAATCACACAATCATTCAGGTTGGAAAAGACCTCTCAGATCCCAAGTCCAACCCCTACCCAGCCCACTGTGCCCACTGCCCACGTCCCTCAGTGCCACATCCCCACGTTCCTTGAACACCTCCAGGGATGCTGACCCCACCACCTCCCTGGGCAGCTGTGCCATTGCATCACCACTCTTACTGAGAAGAAATTTTCCTAATACCCAACGCAGACCTCTTGTGGTGCTACTTGAAGCCATTATCTCTTGTCCTAAACCCAACCTCTCCATCTCTCATTGCTCTACTGAGCAGCTCTTCAGCTGCAAACAGCTCTGAAGGCATTGGGGTCTATCTCCAGCCCTCTGGAATACAGGAGAGGAGCCTCAGTTAAACCCCTAAGCAGGTTCCACACGGCAACCCAACAAATCCCAGAGAGGGACTCTCCATGGCCACCAGCACTTGGAGCCTGGAGGCGCCTCCACCCCCTCCTGGGCTGCAGGAGGACTGCGCCTTCATTATCGATCATTCCTTGATTTCTTGGCCGGCTTTTCATCTCGCTATCTCTGCCACGTTAAAAAATCACTTAATTTCTGGCAGAGAGAATATTTACATTCCACACAATGGCTTTTGGGCCAAGTCCTGCTTTGGGTTATGTCTCCGTTCCCCAGTGCTGCAGTGAGTAATAGGATTTGTCCTACTATGCCTCCACCACACATCCCATCTCCAAACCCCCTTCCCCTTTTTTCCCCATGCAAGATGCGATGCACGTTTGGGAAAAGAAGAAAAAAAAAAAGCAGAAGGGTCATCTGCTAAGCATCTCAGCTATTTAGCTTAAGAGGAATGTTCTAGGGCAGAGAGAGTCCTGTGATTTAGAGCCAACGCCATGCTGCTTTGAAAGCTGAGATCAGACTCGGTGCATTTCTTCACGCATGCTGACAATGCCGAACGCTGATGGACAAACCATCAGGAAGCTGAGCATTCCCAGGCACCTGAAAGCACTGGACTGGAAGATTCAGGAAAATGAGGAATTTTAGTGTGAAACGTGATCCCCTTTGCTTCTTCTCAGCCAGAAGGAAAATATGCATAGAACAACAGCAACAACAAAAAAAGGATAAAAAGTCCAAGTTTGTCACTGCTGGAATAAGGCTTGGTTCAACGAGACAGAAAAACCTCTGGGGATGGTGGAGATGAAAGGGAGCCATGAGCAGCCCACATGGGATCATCGCCTGTGGGCGATGCTGAGCGCCCGTCCGGACAAGGTCGTATGAGGCGGTGCTGCGCCGCTACCCAGCCCACGTGTGGGGCTGTTGTTTTTGAATGTACTCATCCACAGCACAGCTCCTGCAGCACTTGGAGCAGCTCTTCCTCCTCCTCTTACACATTAAAAATATCTGTGCGGGGCTTTGTTAAAGAAAAATGTTCCCTAAAGCTGGATGCACGCTGCGGGAACAGCCGTGGTGGCACTCTGACACCACAAGTCCTCCTCGGGGAATCGGAATGGAGAAAGCAAGCCGACCCCTGGGGACGAGCAGATCCGAAAACGTGCAGCAGGAGGATCAGAACTAGAGAGTCTTCAAAGGTCCCTTCCAGCCCCAACCATCCTATGGCTCTATGGTCTTTAAGGTCCCTTCCAACTCATTCTACGGCTCTGTGACCCTTCCAACCCAACCGTTCCATCATTCTGTGATTCACAGCTCAGAGCCAGGATTTCTTCCCTTACCTCGATCCTTCCCGTTCTGCATTTTTTCCATTTCTTCTTCATCTTCTTCCTCTGCTTCAGGAAGAAGAAAAACATCACGCATGGATGAGACATGTACACGAGAGAACTGAGACATACGGAAATCACAAGTTTTAGGCTAAAATCAAATCTAACAAGTGGAAGTATTTCTATGGAACATGGAAATTGTTTATGGAAAAAGGAAATGGCTTTATGGAAGAAGGAAATGGTTTCATGTTGATCTGAGGTGGAAACCCTGAGGTCCCTTCCTGGAACTGCTGTTTGCCTGCTTGTGCTCCCAGGACCCTGGGGCCAGGCTGTGCCCCAGGCTGGATTTTTGCTCCATACCCATTCCACTGAGCCCTGTTTCAACTGAAGAGGATTTATGAAAAAGCTCATATTTATATTGCAGAGCATAGAAGGCCACATTCTTCTGTAGATGGTGGCTTGTGTCTGTGTGCAACATCTCCCTGAGCTCTAAGCAAACAGGTGACAGTTGTTACACGCAGCGCTATCACTCCTGCCCACTTCACACACTGCTGAGTGCAAAGACAGACAGAAAGCTCCACAATAAAGGGCACAATTTGAAGACCTTCAGATCAAAGTGGATCTTGACCTGCACACTGATATTCGCTTTACTTGCTAAACAGCAGGAGCATCAGCAGGAGCACCAGAACCTGTAAAGTCTCAAACCAGAGCCACACAGCATTCTATGGTTCTATTCAGGAACATGGGTTAGTGGGCTTGGTAGTGGATGCGTTGATGGTTGGACTTGATCACCTTGGAAGTCTTCTTCAAGCTCAGTGATTCTATGATTCCATTTAAGGACATGGTTTGGTGGTATGGTGGAGACAGATTGATGGCTGGGCTTGATGATCTTGGCTTTTCCAACCTTTGTGATTCTATGACTCTCTGATTCTATATCATCAAGCAAGGGCATGTAATTAATTTCCTTTTCGCTCCCTCATGCCACATCTGCTGCCAGCACTGCCATTGCCCTGCTCAGGAGATCTGACCTTCAGGAAAGCAGCATTTCCGAGTGGTGCCCTCATCAAAGCCATGGGGAGCTCCTGCTATTGCACACATACAGATCAATAGCAGCAGGAGCACAGCAGCTAGGTGTTAGTCTGCTGCTACAATCAGCAGCCAGGCTTCTATCTGCAGAATGTGACCTTAACCATTCTGTTGGTTAAGTGATAAAATCAATGGAAATCCTATTCGGATGGCATTTGGAGTTCTCAGCAAGGCTAGCCATAAAAAATGATTTTTCATTTTATTGTTGAAGAAATGAACGCGTAATCTCGCGTTACGCCTTAAATAGAGTTTTTATAAAAAATAAATCTAAAGACAAATCTCTCTCCTCTTACCTGAGTGCAGCTCCTTCACCAGCGATGACATCGTGTTGGTGATGGAGTCGGCGGCCACCAGCAGGTCGTTGCGCAGGTTCCTCCTTGTACCTGGGAGCAGAGCAAACACGCAGCAGGTAAAGCAGCTGCACACAGCCCTCCTGCCTCATGGATCCTGGCCCCATGGAGCTCAGCCCCGCAGAGCTCAGCTCCACAGACCACAGCTCCACCAGGGATCCCTGCTCAGGAGAGCAGTGGTGCTGCGCCCAGCTGCATTGGAGGGCCCTGAGAAGAGATCTGGATTTGCTCTGGAATGCTCCCACTCTGCCTGGCTATTGTCTGCAAGCCTATCGTCTGACTGCTAATTAGCTACTGCATTGCTTTTCTCCTCCATGAGGGCAGCACTCCTACGTCAGCTCAGGGTTTTTCTGCTCAAGATGCTTGAAGTTGAGTGCCTGTCTTGTTCCAGATATTTCCCATCTCATCAATCTCCCAAATGCTGCGATGGCTTCGACTCCTCTGAGCAATTCTACCATTAGCTGCGGTGCTGTGGATTTGCCGCTAGGCTCTGTGCTGGCTACCAGCGTGGCCCACGAATACCAACATGGCCTGTGAATGTCTGCATGGCTCACAGATGTTAACATGGCCCATGGATGGATGTCAGCACAACCCATGGACTTCAACACGGCCCATGGATATCACCACACCTCATGGTTGGATGTCAACGCGACCCATGGATGGCTGTCAACACCACCCGTGGATATTAACGTAAGCCATGGATGTCAGCATGGTCAGCACGTATCTTGGAGGCCATGAACATTCCATCAACACATCCCTGTCCTCTGGCTTGGGCACCAAGTGACCAGCGCTGTGCCCATGGCGTGATGCTCTGGCAGCTACACAAACAAACAAACACCGACTTTAACGAGCTCATCTGGACGCCCACTGCCACTGGAGGCCCTTCTGGCTGGTGGCATTAAATTATTTTATTATGTGATCACACAGAAATTTTATCCTGCTTCCTGCATTCTCCACTTGCTTAGAATTTGTCTGATTTTACATGATTGATATGAAATAGCACTAATTGTGCAGATTGCCTTCCCGGAAAGATCATTCCCGGAAACTTATTACGGAGCCTGCTGACCATGTTCTCTTGCAAAAGGTTTACCAGCTGTTGGGCTTTATTCTAATGCTGTTTTCTCCCAGTGGCAAAGTGGAAGACCAAGAGGGCACCGCTGAAGGAAATGTATCCCATTAGGGACCATAAGACTTGGTTCTGCAAACATTTCCTGCTGATTTCCCCTCTGCCATGGGGTGGAAGTGATGATGTTGGCAGTCCTGGGTATGGCAATGAGAAAGTGAGCAGGAATGAGACCCTCACCCACTTTTTCTCTTTTCTCTCATTTTAGAAGATATGGAAGAGTTCACAGAGATAATTTAAATGCTTTGGTAAAAAAAAAATATTAAAAAAGTAAAATAAATGGAACCTTTCAGGAGGTTTTGTTCCGAAAGCGTTGCCTATGGATAATTTGCTCCTGTGAGCCACAACCACCACCACCATACTATTGGGATGTAGGTGCTACCTAAGCCCTTAGCACTACAACAGCCCTATACAATACCTGCCATGCATTGCATAGAGATACTAAGGTGTTAAAAACCTGGAAAAAAAGAATTTTTTTCTCTTTGGGCAATATTGACAGAACCTAGTGAAGACTGTGCTCCTCTAAAGCAGGAATGAGCCACGGTTCATTCCATGAGCTTGCCCCAGAGCCAGGAGTTGAAGCCTGCACACTGTGCAGAAGGAACATCGCTTCTTCTGTGTCTCCAAATGCAGATGGATAGAAAGCACATTTTGATGCCAAAGCACTACTGTAAAATAAAAAGAATCAAGTAGGGCAGTTACTGTACTACAACAATCTTGTGTTCATTACTCGTAGCTGCAGAAAGGAGATCATTTTGCCTCTTTGTGCTTTCCTCATTAAAAAACCAAAGGGGAAAATGATGAACCAGATACAGCAGATTTTCCCAGTGCCTGGTGGGACTCACAGCACCGCTGCGTGCAGCCTGGAGAATAGAAAGCTGATCTGCAGGGGAAGGACGGGCAGCTGTTGAAGGAGTGGGATGAGGCTCTTGACTCGTTGGGGGGATGAAGAGGAGGCGCCAGGGCCACCCACAGCAGCAGATGGAGCCGTGCCGCTGGTGTTTGGCACCGCGCCTCCTGGAACGAGGCTTCGTCTCTGGAAGCGCTTAGAGAGATCAGAGAATCATAGAATGGTTGGGTTGGAAGGGACCTTAAAGATCAGAGAACCATAGAATGGTCGGCTTGGAAGGGCTCTTTCAGCCCATCCAGTTCCCACTCCCTGCAGTGGGCTGGTTGCCACCGAGCACATCAGGCTGCCCAGGGCCTTGGCAGCTCCAGGCATGGGGCACCCACAGCTTCTCCAAGCTCGTTTCTGCTGGTGGGGTCAGAAAAAGGCATTTCCTTCTCCAAGATGAGTAATGATGGGTTGATGGTTGGACTTGATGATTTCAGTGGTCTTTTCCAGTCTTAATGACTCTGTGATTCTATGAGCTCTAGATACTTTGCACTTCCATACTGGACTTCTTCCACCATATGACCTACTCACCAGCTGAAATTTTGGAGAACAACCAACAGAGCCTTTTCCTTTCACCAAGCACTGAGGGCTGAAGGCTTGCAGTCCTCACTTCAGCGTGCCGGGGATTCAACATCCATTAAGGTTGGAAAAGATCACTATGATCACTAAGACCACCACGAACAGGAGAACATCTGTCTGACAGAATATCTGACATTAATATTCACCACCTCCCCTACTCAGCAAGAAATATGCTCATGAATGAGAAAATTCCACCTCCAGATAACGAAAGCATGAGATACAAGTTGTCATCTTTTATGGAACTGAATAGCTTGGCCTCTGGGAGATGCAGAGGGAGCTTAGAGAAGGCAGGACTGAGGAACTAACTCCCTCATTCACTGCAGTGTGATGGCTCCCTAAAGGTAGAAAACCTCTTCTTTGCCAGTCTTCTTGACATCAGACCCAAGTAATGCTTTTACTTGCCTTTTCCCAACATCCTGAGGGTGGAACCTCCATTTTTCTCCCTCTCTCCTCTGCGAGGAAGAGGCAGAGGTCTGGACTGAGTGCACAAGGTTTCTGTTTCATCTGGTTGTCTTCAAATCCTGAAGCACTTCTTGAGCCCCCAGTGACGTTTCCAATGCATGACTGCAGAAGTTTATTTTTTTAAAACTAATAGCTGCTATGTATGAACTCACACTACCTACAGAAGCTGGGGAGTATAAATATCTATGTCAACTGCTGCCCTGGTGCTCTTCAAAGCACTCTGAGCTGAATTATTCAGAAAAGGACAGCTAACCCACTTGATCCAACCATTTTGGTTTTACCAAAGGATGGGGGGATGAGGTGTACATAGGGAAATGCAGTTGAAACTACCCAATAACCTCCTACTTCTTGCTGAATCACAGAATTATTTGAGATGGAAGGGACTTTGAGTTGGAAGATCACCCAGTCCAAATCCCCTGCAGTGAGCAGGGACATCTGCAGCTCAGTCATAGAATTATAAAATCACAGAATCCAATCATAGCATCACAGAATTGTTTGAGTTGGAAGGAACCTCTAAAAGTCTCATGAACAGGGACCCCTACAGCTCCATGAAGTTGCCCAGATCAGGTTGTGCCCATACAGATTGGCACCATTGAGCTTAGGCCAAAAACTGGTATTTTTTTTCAAACACAAGTGGTGTAACATCTAGAGAAGGTGCGAAGGAAGTAACAAGGAGCTGTGATCCCAGGCAAGAACTGGAGAAAGGGATCAAGAAAACATTCAGCCCCATAACCAGACAGTCAGCTAGGTTGGAAAGGACCTTCAAGTCCAGTATTATTTATACAAAGTATGTGTTCTGCTTCTTTGCTATGATCCTCCCTTCTTTCCTTCCCTGTTGGCATTAGTCTGATAGTGACAGGACAAGGAGGGATGGCTTCAAACTGGAGGAGGAAAGACTGAATCCAGGTTTTAGGGGGAAATTCTTTACCTGTAGGGCAGTGAGGCCCTGGCACAGAGGATCTGTGGATGCCCCATCCCTGCCAGTGCCCAAGGCCAGGCTGGATGGAGCTTTGGGCACCTGGTCAATGGATGTGTCCTCATGGCAATGGCTGGGTTGGGTGGATTTTAAAGTGCCTTCCAACCCAAAGCACTCCATTCTAGGACTCTACAATTATCGGATAACTTTCTAGGATGGGAGAACCCTTTAAAATGGAAAGAACAACAACATGCCGCAGTTCCTTTGGTCTGGAGCATAGCAAAGGGAGCCGGGCTGCCCCGTTCCCTGCTCCACGAGATGCTCACCTTGTGTGAAAGCTTCTTGCATGTCCCCGATGTCCTGGGGGCCGTGTGTTGGTGTGGAGCCAGCAGAGGTGGATCTGACGGGCATGGGCAGCGGGCGGCCGGCTCCGTGGGTGGGGGACGAGTGCGCCGAGCCCGCTGCTTGCGCCTGCACGGAGACACAGCGCCCACATCTTACACTTGTTTTGGGTCAGCGTCTACAAATAATGTCCTAAAGCATTGCAACCATGCTCTGCAACCTGCTCTGCACAGAGCTAACCGCTGCTGGACGTGAGGTTAGGAAACCAAAAGCTTAGCTTTGCAGCATCCAGGAAGCAAACAGCAAATGCACGATGAGGGGCTGAGCAAACCCACAAGTGCCATGCAGGAGATTTATTAATACTTGTTGCTAAAAAAGCATTTAAAAAAAAAAAAAAAGACAACTTTTTCTGGTTGCTCTTTAACTATCCAGAGCTGCCCTCATCACCCCAGTGCTCTGCAATCCTACAACCCAGGCGTTCTCTGCAGCAATTTCTATCTCAGCACACTCTACACCTTCTTGCTCAGTTCACGACCAGCTCTGCCATGCTTTGCTAGCCATGATTGACGACCTTAACCTGTATTTATATTCAAGCTGTGCTACCACAGATGAGGGGAAAACTACCCATAAAAAAAAATCACATGAAAGCTGCACAACCCCTGACCAAACTCATTCTGTTTGTGCCATTCTGTTTGCTTCCCTTCCTCCGACCCGTGCATCCCTTGCTCCCTTTGACGTGCACCAGTTACCAGGGCAACCCTGCAACACCGCTGCACTGTGCCCAGCGCTCCGGGCACAAAAACCCGGCAGCGTGCAAAACTGTTGGTTTGAAACTACACTGATAACACATGGAGTGAAAGAAGCGAGCGAAATATTCTCATGGTGCTGGCAGGGGAGATGGCTGCTGCAGGAGAGCAATGGTCTTGCAAAGATAAAATGGTTTGCAAATCAAACAAATACACAGGAAACATCATCAGCTCCATCGGGCGGATAAAGCCGTGGCTCTGCCCAAGCTGCCCGCCAGCTGCAGGGCCAGCTCCATGCATCTCCACATCTGGCCCCTGGCACTCCCCAGATGTGCGCTCACTGGGACTGCAATCATAGAATGATAGAATTGTTGGGTTGGAAGGGACTTTAAAGATCATAGAACCATAGAATGGTCGGGTTGGAAAGGGCCTCACATCCCCCCAGCCCCACTCCCAGCCATGGGCTGCTTGCACCCCACTAGCTCAGAGCCTTGAGCAACTCCATGGAGGGGGCACCCATTGTTCACTGGGCTGCAGCACCTGGGCATCACCTCGGAGTAAAGAATTTCCTCCTTACATCTAACTGAAATCTCCCCTGAAGGACCCCCCAAGCTCCATGCTCCAGCCCCAGTCCAGCCTCCAGCCCTGGCGACACCTGTATTCTACTGACACGTGCCTTGGAGACACGTCAACCAAATCCGCGTTCTTAGAATAAGCGCCCAAGGAACTGAAATTGTTTTTCTCAATCGCTGGGCGCGCAGATGGGCTGTGCCAATTTGCATACGGCAGCAAGTGGAGCAGAGGGGCTGGGAACGTCCCTCACTCTCACAGTGACGCAGTTCCTGGAAATCTGAGTGATTTTGAGAAAAGCTGGTGACGGCGTGCAGCCAACGTGGCATGGAGAGCAGCTTGGGGGCAGCACCGTGCTTCCTGCTGTGCAGCAGCTCCTGTTGATGTGACCTGCAGCACCTGTTGGCCAAAAGAGGATCTGAAAGCTCTGGGGAGCAAATCGCCTTCGTGGGGCAGTGAATCACTGAACTGTGGAATCACTGCGGGTGGAGAAGACCTCTAAGGTCCCCAAGTCCAACCCCAACCCACCGCACCATGCCCACTGTGTCCCTCAGTGCCACATCGCCACGGTTCTGGAACACCTCCAGGTTTGGTGACCCCACCACCTCCCTGGGCAGCTGTGCCACTGCAGCTCTGCTCTTTATGAGAAGAAATGTTTCCTAATGTCCAACCTGAAATTCTCTAATTCCAGACAAAAATAAAAGTATCATATCTATCTCACTCTTTTTGTACTTTATACAGCAAATGCAGTCTCATGCATGCTTGGGTGTTTCCACTCCCGTGGAAGAATTACGTGTGTGGAAAAACGGTGCATGACCTTTAGGCAACATTTGTGATGCATAACCATACAGCAAAGAGAAAGGAGAACATGTGAGCTGTCTGTACGCTGCTGTTGTTTGCTAACCACGAGCATGATTTGGGAAAACCAGAAAGCAGCGATGGGACCGTACAGCTTGGTGTCCTAGAAAGCAGATTATTGACTGAGAAAGCAAGAAAGACATCTGGTGCACGCAGACACACTGCGGAAGCGGAAGGGAAGAGCTGAGGAGTCCCCCCAGCACGGGCGGTCGTAATGTGAACCGCAGGTGCCGGGCTGGGCCCCATAGGAGGAAGCGGTGGGCGGACGCGTGGGCAGGGGACGGGGATGGAGGAGGCACGGACAGATAATGGATGAGCTCAGGAGCTGTTCCTGAGGCGGAATGGGAAAGCAATAAATCACTCCTACAGCCTTCCTCCTCCTCCAAAGGCTGAAGGAAGGAACAGGGCAGGTCGTAAATACTGAGCCGAGGCTGCTCTGAGGTTGTGGAAGTGAACCCAACGCAGGGCGCGCAGCAATGTGTGCACAGGAAGCTCTGGGGTTCGTTGCAGAAGAACCGTGAACGGGCTTTTAAGTTCCTCTCTGATGCTGTTGGGTTACGGGAAGAAGAGTGCAGCGTTAAGCATCCTGAAACACTTCTGTACAGGGGATGCAGAAGATGGATTTCCATTGATAAAAACAGCCATGGAAAGCCCTGACCCAGCTCCTGAAATGTCTGAGAGCTGACTCGTATGTACTGGCCCCAGTTTATCAAGACTTGCATGCGGCAGCTCTGAGGTTGAACCTGAAAAACCCTAAAAATCTCATGATAAAAACAGCTCTAGGCTTTGCATCAGAACAAGAGGTGTGGGAAGAAGGGACGGTAACATCTCTCACTGAATGGAAAAGGGCCTCCGGAGGTGTCCACTCCAAACCGCCGTACCCATCAGCGCTTCTGCTTCCAGGGGAGCTGGGGTGGATGACCCCAGAAGGACCCACGTTTGTTTGTATGATTCTGTGATCCTACCGAGAAACTGAGAACATTCGCTTTGCAAGGAATTTACGTTGACTTTAATGTGCTTGATCGTCTCACATATCCCCGTGAATAGATTAAAATAAAAGAGATCTCGTGTACCTATAAAAAGCTAACATTTCCTTAGAGAAGCGATTTAGACAAGTAAACAACTCATCATGCCCCAAATAGCTAACTGCAGAAAACGCTGCAGAAATGGATCAGAAATGAAAAGAACGTAAATGCGTGGCCTACAACACTCATTTTTTGTTCAGTATCTTCGCTGTAGGAAATTAAGGAAATCAGACAATGTCAAACGGCATCCGAGCAAAAGCAGGAATCTTCATTAGAAAGGGAAATGGGAACAGGCTTTTCATCTGCATATCATGCATGTTCGCTTTCTAACTTGCATTTTCTATAAAAGAGGGGAAATTTAAGATAGATGTTATAGTGAAATTCTTTACGCAGAGGGAGATGAGGCCCTGGCACTGCCCAGAGCTGTGGGTACCCCATTCCTGGAGGTGCCTGAGGCAGTGGATGAGCCCTGAGCAGCCTGAGCTGCTGAGGAGCACCCAGCCCACAGCAGGGGTGGGGCTGGGGGAGCTGTAAGGTCCCTTCCAACCCAACCATTCCATGGCTCTATGATCTTTAAGTCCCTTCCAACCCAACCATTCCATGGCTCTATGATCTTTAAGTCCCTTCCAACCCAACCTTTCCACAGCTCTATGATCTTTAAGTCCCTTCCAACCCAACCATTCCATGGCTCTATGATCTTTAAGTCCCTTCCAACCCAACCATTCCACAGCTCTATGATCTTTAAGTCCCTTCCAACCCAACCATTCCATAGCTCTATGATCTTTAAGTCCCTTCCAACCCAACCATTCCACAGCTCTATGATCTTTAAGTCCCTTCCAACCCAACCATTCCACGGCTCTATGATCTTTAAGTCCCTTCCAACCCAACTATTCTGCGATTCTATGATACCATCTTCTTTTCTGCCCTTATTTAAGAAATACAAGGCAGCTCTTGAGACTGATCTCAGGATAATTCCCAAGGCTCACGCTGAGTGACATCTACCACAGCCTCACGGCTTGCCCTGCCCCGGATTTCCACTGCTTGTAGCCTGCAGGCCCCATCCATCCCCTTCATTTCAACAAAAAGCTGTCAAGTTGGAAATCAAGTTGCACTCTCCACGGATGTACAGGTCACCCGCCTAGCCTACATCATCTGTGTTTAGAATTTCACACATATACAATCCAAATGCTGCAGTGCCCTTGCATTCCTTTGCTCATTTTGGGGCTGAGCCAATGCAATAAGTAGTGCTGGAAAGCCTGAAAGCAATGAGCTGAGACGCTCCCTGCGCCGGGGTTAATTTTGTTTAGAAACGCCCTGAAATATTGGGGAAATTTATGAGCGCTGAAGAGTGCAAATATTTTTTTAAAGTGAATATTATGGACTACCACAGGCAGGTTAGTGAGTAATCCTTGACAAAAGAATCAAGCTCACTCATAAAAGTCATTCTTTGTGTTTTTTTTAAAGTTTTTATCCTGTGAGTGGCTGCCAGACAACTGATGTGCTGCAAACAGGCCGTGCCACCTAAGTTTAGGGTAAGTGGAGATGTGGTGAACAGTGGGCATGGTGGGATGGGCTGGGGATGCACTTATGGTCTCAGACATCTTTTCCAATCTGATTGATTCTGTGGTTCTTTGAGTGGGGATGGTCACCATGATGGCTTGATGACCACAGAGATCTCGACGAGCTTCATGGCTCTGGTTCCATGGTTTGACTTCTGTCCTTGAGGAGATGATAAGTTTTACAGACAAGGCTCAGTAAAAAGATAACAGAAATTATCCACCCAAAGGGCACTTGATCGATGCTTCCTTGGCCAGGCATCCCCCATAATTCTGAACTTGTTAACAAGCCCCTGTGGGGCTGGTGGTGGCCTGGGCTCAGCCTTCCAGTCACCCCACTCCTGCATCAATAAGCAATGTGTGATGTCAGGCAC